TGGTTCTCCCTTGTCAGTGATGCAGGACGGAGGGCCTGACAAGGAAAGCTGTCTAGTCGTTCGGATGGGACGAAAAACCGAGGTCCCGTGTACTCATTGGCGTGCACGTAAAAGATCCCTTGGCAGTTGGAATTCGATATAAGAGTAGGCCGTAGTGCCGCTGTCCGGGCAAAATTTCCCTCATAGCACACTGTATGGCGTATGCCCGTCTTCATTATAGCCCAGGTTAGGAGCAGAACAGTAGGACGTTAAACCCCATTTCATTTCACTTAAATTTCATTTAGTATGTTCATTTCTGTGAATCTGATGAGACGTATATATTTTATATGTTCGGGTGATTCATTCAATCTGCTGTTCCTATTAATGTTTTAGTAGAAATCTCTAGGGGATGACAGAATGAATATTACAAAAGAGTTTTGTGATTTGCAACAATAGTAATTTTATCAACATACAATATATGGTATTTCAAGTCGGACGTTCTGATATATCTACAGTAGCCTGATATTTAATTAAACGAAAAATATAACATGTGGGAAGAAGAAGAATAATATAAAGTCAACATCCCTCCGATTTCTAGTAAGATTTCTCTTGTGTCAACAGATCATTTAATTGGGTAATCCCCCACCTCGAACAGAGCGTGGTTTATTTAAAATCTCTTGCAGGTCAGAACATATTGAAGAAAAACTGAAAGTAGAAAGTTAACTAAAATAAAAAACCAGAAATACCTGATTTAAAAAGTATTTATTCAGAATTCTTATACCCTCGTGAAGGGTACCTGAGTTAAAAAGTATTCATTCAGAATTCTTATATACAACCATGAAGGGAATAACATGAATATATTGTATACAGTAACAAGCAACTTAATGCTTATATAAAACTGCTTCCAGAATAGGGGTTTTAATGGTAATATAATAAGATTATCTATATTAGGGTTTTAGTTAATGGTGGTATGAAGAAAGGGTGTTAAATAGGAAATAAAAGCAATCAAATAAAAAAGAAAAAAGAAAAATGAAGAGGAAAAGTGGAGACATATTCAGGGGGTGGGGGGATAGAGATTTGGATTAAACAGAAGCCTTGGGCGCGACGCCAGAAAACCCAAAAAGAAAGCCTAAAACACACCAACAACTGGTTAAGAATAGGTTTTTGGTATTTAAAATATATATTATTAAATACACATTTCTCTGGTGAAGTTGGATTACCTAGGGATTATGTATAGAGGATTAGAAGGTGATCAAGATTTGAAGAAATCTTGTAATAGTCATTCGTAAAGAGTGAAAATCACCTTCATTTCGAAGATTTGAAACTTTCACAGACATATTTTTATTTTTACAATGATTGTCATTCCTACACAAAACTGAATTAATATTCTGGTCGTCCAATGTATCGATGATGGGTCTGCGTTGGTCTATAAAAAGGCTGCAATGAAAAAAATAATGTTCGCCAGATTCACATTTGTTTCCGCATAAACAAGATGGGTCATCAGATACATGCATGACGTATTTATGATAATTTAGGTCAGATTTAGAGTAGGTGGTACCGGGTGTTCTTGGAATAGTGAGGCATACCCTGCACCATGCATGATATGGGTCGTAAGTTGACAACTTTACGCTGACAAATCATCTAAAAATATCTGCGGAATGACAGTCGTTGTTATGACCAATGTGATTAAAATACAGATCTATATTTCGTTTCGTTTTTTTTAACTTTCGATGGACTGCACTACATGAAGTGAAGACAGGCAAATAAAAAGAAATTTTAAACTATAAGAAACGAAATAAAATAGGATTTGTGTTTTAATCAGATTGGCGTATGACAAAAGAGAGAGAGAGAGAAATGGGGTTTAACGTCCACTCGACACAAACTAGGTCATTTCAGGACTAACATATGGTTTAATTGTAATTCAATAATTCGCTTGCGCGTAGACGTCTTTAGCAGTGGGACGAAACCGGAGAACCCGGAGAAAACCCACGAGGATGGACAGGCGACCTGGCGTATGACAATCCCAATCTTTCAATTAGCCCAAAGAGTAAAGGCCACGCAGTGAGTATGGGGCTGGTCGAAAATGTCCCTGGTATTTCCCGTGGTGCACGACAGAGGGTCTGACCTACGAAAGACCAGAAGGCTCATTCCAAATTCCAAATTCCAGATTCCAAATTCCAGATTCCAAATTCCAGATTCCAAATTCCAAATTCCAGATTCCAAATTCCAGATTCCAAATTCCAGATTCCAAATTCCAAATTTGCTGCCGTAGCAAAAAAATAAAAAAATGCCAGTCCTAGGATACCGAGTAGCAGAGTAGCTCACTGCAGAGGAACTTTGCCCCAAACTTTTCAGGGGATCACGTGGCTAAGACGCTAGTCTGGAGGTCGGGAGTTCGATCCCTGCATTGGCCGAGAAAGTTCATCCAGATTTTCCGGCGTGGTTCCCCCTTGTCAGTGATGCAGGACTGAGGGCCTGACAAGGACAGCTGTCTAGTCCTTCGGATGAGACGAAAAACCGAGGTCCCGTGTATACATTGGAATGCACGTAAAAAATCCCTTGGCAGTTGGAATTCGATATAAAAGTAGGCGATAGTGCCGCTGCCCGGGCAAAATTTCCCTCATAGCACACTGTATGGCGTATGCCCGTCTTTATTAGCCCAGTATAGGAGCAGAACAGTAGGACGTTAAACCCCATTTCATTTCATTTCCAAACTTTTCACATCTGCCGAAGAAAACCCGAACTGGAATATTGTTATTATACTCTAACTGATTAGTCAAAAGCAAAAACCTAATCCGATTGGTCGGGTCAGATTTGGAATTTGGAATTTGGAATTAAGCATTTGGAATTTGGAATTTGGAATCTGGAATTTGGAATCTGGAATTTGGAATTTGGAATTTGGAATCTAGTAATTTGGAACGGGTATTTATCCGGTCACGATAGGTAAACTAGAAGTAATTAGTTGTGTAAAATTACAATTTATATTTAATTGAGGGGGGCTGCCAATTTGCTATTTTATCGGTAAGTCATGAATTTAGAATTTGAAATTTCGCATTTGGAATTTGGAATTTCGTATTTGGAATTTGGAATTTGGAATGAGCCTTCTGGGCTTTCGTAGGAAAGGGTGTCTAGTCGTTCCAAGGTGTCTGGTGCGCACGATTTGACATCGCCTTTCTTCTCATGCGAACCACATTCGCTGTCAGACCCACAGACGACAAAACGCGCTGATCTGCGATTTGGTTCCCGGGTGCCAATTGCATGCAAAAATGAAAGAAATCCACTACGAACCCTAATATGTAGAATCTTCACAAAAATTGTGAACGGTTGACAGATCAAGAGAGAGAAATGGGGTTTAACGTCCACTCGACACAAACTAGGCCATTTCGGGACTATCATACGGTTCAATTTTTTTTCAATAATTGGCTTGCACGTAGAGGTCTTTAGCAGTGGGAGGAAACCGGTGGACCAGGTTGGACAGGCGATCCTACTGCTTTTCACGTACAACTGGGGAAGGGGGGTTGGATGGCTGAATGGTTAGCGTGCGCGCGCTGTATCATAAAGTCTGTCATTGAGTCGACTGGCGTGGTTTCAAATCCCCGGTTGTACGTGACAAGGAGTAGGGTCGCCTGTCCAACCTCGTGGGTTTTCTCCGGGTCCTCCGGTTTCCTCCCACTGCTAAAGACCCCTACGCGCAAGTGAATTATTGAAATAAAATTAAACCATATGTTAGTCCCGAAATGACCTAGTTTGTGTCGAGTGGACGTTAAACCCCATTTCTCTCTCTCTCTACAACTGGGGAATCGAAACCACGCCAGTTGACTGAACGACAGGCCTTACCATTCGGCCTTCCTACCCGCCTATGACAAAATAAGACAACAACATTTATGTGGGCGTATAAAAAAACACCGACTCAGCTTATTACAAGTCCAGATTAGAGATTTTCTATTTATTTATTATTCTATAAGAAACAGATACATTCATGACAAAAATACCAAATGATTAATTATATGTCATGAATAATCTGTTTCTTAAGAATAAACCCATAAAAACCAGTAAAAATTACACAATGTACACTGATTGATTTCCAAAGTACATTTTTATCATAACGTACACCCCAAATTATTTACGTAGATTCCTTTAGTGCTATTTCTCTTGTATCAAAGAAGCCCCCCCCCACCACCACTACTACCCACCACACCCTACCCGCCTGTATCTGGATGGACGGACTGACCTCACATTCTAAACACACAACATACGCGATCTATTCGTTGAATCAAAACACATGAACTGGAAAATATTCTTTATTTTTAACTTAATCGACGTCAATTTTAATAAGAGTAAATAACGAAGACAGTTCTATATTTATAGCCGCTAGATATTAATTAACACCGGGGTTACAGTTTTCTGACCAATACCAAATCAACCTGTCATTTACTTCCCAATATCTAAAATACATTTTATAGACCGACAAATAAAATATTAATCCATTACCGTTGGAATTTCGACATTTAGAATTTGATTTTCCAATTATCGTTTTTTCGGAAAAAATTGATCAGAAAGTAAATGAAATTTGGTTGTGTGAGGAATTGTTATATTAAATGATTGAGTGAAGGACGAATTACATTAAGCTATATTAAGCTATAAAAGACTATAGACAAGTGAGCTAGACTTGTCTTTTTTCTTATATAAATAAGGTCATTATTTTATCAATTTCTTTTATATTCTGAATAAACATATACTATACAAGCTACATAGACTATTTTCGTTTATTAAAAGCCAAAGGTGTTCGTTTTTGATAATATTCGGTATGTTTGACGTTTCTTGAAACATGCATACAATATGAGTCAAATGACTTAACAACCACTATCCTGAAAGCTAATTTTATTTTTAAAAAAAACCCTTCCCAATAATATTCTGTAATCTCCAAACATTTGTGCAAATTTTAATGATTTACTAATCAAATATATCGGTAGACTTAACCGAATTTTATTTTCCACAATCCCAACATAATAATATCTTACCTAGTGGTATATCCGTTTGAACAGCCGTGCCGCCAATATGATGAATAAACAACCACATTTCTAAACAAAGTTCAATAAAATTTCTCATTCTAAAATCCTAAAGTACAACACAAATTCCTTGCCGAATTATCCAACATATAATAACATGTCGTTGAGACAAGCCATCACTAAGGTTTGTGCGATAAGCGAGCGATAGATCGAGAGAACTAGTCGACGAAACTTGAACACATCCAAACATAACCAGCCTGAAACCATTAAGTCAAGGGACAAATGAAATGCGTTCGGGCGGCAGAAAACTCGTGTCGCCAGTTTCCGGAGAATCTCCGTAATCTCTGAAACAATTAAACTCATGTCACTGATGGCGTATGATTTTCTTGTCGCGGATTGAATCTTTTTATTAAATAATCTTGATAAAATGCACGGTAATTTTCAGATCAAATTAGGAAATTGAATGCTGCTACTTTATTTGGAAAGATAAATTAACTATATGTTCACATGTCAAAAATATGTACAACTATTTTTATTATGTAATTAAGCACATCGTAGTAAAAAAGGGGCCTTCAAGAAGAATATGCTGGCTTGAACAAAAAATATAATTAATATAAACTTTAAACTTCCCCAATTACTGTCGGTCTGAATACTATATTGGCCAAACCTTGAATTAGACATGGTCTTACATTTCATCTTTGTTATGGAATATTCGCACTTTAAGATCATTCCGTTCATAAACAAAAGCATATAAATGCAAAGTTCATATTTTCCCAGATAATGCGAACTATTGAGCACAAACTGTATAGACGCCTCCTCAAATGAATCGAGTTAAAATTGGTATCTTTATGTTTGAAAAAAGTGAGCTTAGATTGTCTCGTGTGCGAAGAGAGAGAGAGAGAGAGAGAGAGAGAGAGACACACACACACACACACACACACACAAACTAGGTCATTTCGGGACTAACTTATGGTTCAAGTTTATGTCAATAATTCGCTTGCGCGTAGGAGTCTTTAGAAGTCGGAGAAATCCGGAGACTCTACTCCTTGTCACGTACCAGCGGAGAATCGAAACCACGTCAGTTGACTCAATGACAGACCTTATGATAAAACCATTCGGCCATCCAACATCCCTTACATCATAGGAATGTAGAAGTACAAATGCACCAATGTAGAAGTACAAATGCACGAACGAAATGTAGAAAACATTATAAAAAATGGACAGAAAATGTATACCATAATCAATAATTGAGAACAATCTGCCCTTAAATACAATTAGCTGACAATTTCGTTTCGATCTGGGATTTCTGATCTTTACACTACTAGTATATTGGATGGAAAACATAACCTACTGACGCCATGCATCACGTGGATTTACAAATTGCATTTCCCTTCAACTCTATCTTACAAGTTGTAAGGTTATTATTATTAACAAAAATTGCATCGATATTAAAATTGCAAAAGTATTTCTATTAAAATTGTCACGTCGACATGGGTATAATATTCAATAGAAAAATCCCTGCGCGTTCCCCTGGAATTTCTAATCAATGGATGTAAACAATAAAACCTATATTTGGGTATATTGATCAGTATAAACTATTTAAACCAGTGGTCGTGTTTAACACTCGTCCCAATGTTGTGTATCAGTTTAAACCGTTGAAAGTGAAGAATTATACTACAGAAAGTATCAAATCCCGGGGAGTTTAAAGTGATTCATATTTTAAGATATACAAGTAGAAGTAATCGAAAGTAGTCTGCGGTTTAATGTATGAAAAACTTTAAAATGCCGATTTTACTCCTTCTTACAATCACGTGTATTTCAAACAATGCCCGAGGAAAACAAAATGCGTTTGTCTGAATGCGCTTCAAAAAATCGCCCTTCTATTTAAAATCGTTAAAGGACACATTTAAAGGTACAGCACTAATCCGATATTATCCACAACATTCGACATTAAAAACACGATTTAGAATTCTGTATTTCAATTTATGACATCTTACCGTGAAGGTGTGTGCTCCTGGTATCCAAAGTTTAAGACACAATGGACATTTTAAAACCGTCGTCCGGTTCTCTATAGTCTCGAGCGATATTTAAAACATATCCCACAATTAAAATGGCTGATTCACACACGACAAAAAAAAATGAAAGAGATATTACCATGTATACTAGCCTAACCAGGTGCAAACAAACTACCATTTAATACGAACATCACTTGCTAGAAATTATAATAAAAATAGAATATAAATCAGTTTTAAAACGCTCATCTTACAGTAGTATGTGCTTTTCGATCCTGTCTATTTTAAGGTTCCAAAGTATAAGGCTATGTGCCCTTTAAGAAGTTTGTGTTCAACTGACAGTACTTCGTTCCTCATTTAACCATAAGTATTGTTTTAGCCTATCACAGTGGGTCAAATCAGAACAGACAACTTGTAAAGAAGCAATTAGATCATATAAAGAATAGATTAATTATATATCAGAGTCTGAACGAAATATAGATTTAATATTAACTAGAACTGCGATGCAGTAATGACGGGTTTCACCGGTGCCACGTTACCCTAAACATATGTCACTTCCGGTACCAATGAAACCATTAAACAGGTTTTCACCTCATCATTGCACACATCAAATAAAATGGACGCCGAATCAACCAAATCCAGCAATATCAATTCATTTTATATATTTGTTACATGTAAGTATACAGTACTTCCGGTGATAATGAAAATATTCAATTAGTTTTATGAAATCAGAAATGGCATAAGGCTTCACATGGTGAAATAATAACTACCACTTTTATAGAACAAAAACCTTGAAAAGTGACCTGTAGAAAATCGTCTATTTCTCTGCAACCGTACAAGTTATAAACCATTTTTTGGTATCTGTATGATCGTGTGGGTTTAATCTATTTTTTGATTGGAATCAAATATCATAATTTTAAAAACATAACAACTCAGACTCATTTGAATAAAATATCTGTTTTGAAAGCTAAAAATACAGTTTTTGCCAAAATGACATTACTTCCGGTGATAATGAAAATCTTAAATTACTTGTATGAAATCGGAAATGGCATTAGGTATCACATAGTGAAAATTTCATGAAAATCGAATAATAATTGACACTTTTATGGACAAAAAACCTTGAAAAGTGACCTGTTGAAAATTACCTATTTCTCTACAACTGAACAAGTTAGAAACCATTTTGTGATACCTATATGATCGTATGGGTTCATTCTATTAGTTGATTAGAATCAAATATCAAAATATTAAACAAACAACAAATACGACTCATTTCAATATATTATTTGTTTCTAAGGCTATAAATACAGTTTTTACCCAAATTTCGTCATTTCCGGTGACATGGAAAATGTTAAATTGACATTACACATCAAATGGTGTCACTTTTATGAAAATCCAATAATAATTGACTCTTTTACAGACACAATAGCGTAAAGAGTGACCACATTAAAATATTCATGAATAAAAAAGTTTTTTGTAAAAATTTAAATTTTCAAAATTTGGCGCTTAATATCTCCGACGATTCGTGGAAAATCAAAAATCTAAAGAACCGTGGCTATGTGCCTTGTCTCTGGCTATGTCAAAATGTATCCAATGTTAAAATCCGACAATTATTGTTAATATTACGGCAATATTTCAAAAATCGACAAATTCGACGATTTCAGACATTTCGCATTGTCGCAGAACGTTCGAAATAGCTTTAATCTCTAAGTCACACCCACTTTTCGAGTAAAACCGAAGACATGGAATCAATCCGACAAGTAGTTTCTGAGATACAATCAAATTGGAAAAAAAATAATAATAATAATAAGAAGAATAATAATAAGAATAATTTTAACAAAAACAATAGTGTTTCACACAAGCTATGCAGTGTGAAACCCTAACTAGATTTGTCCTAGAAGTAAATGGTCGCTATGTTATAACGAAAAAACGTTTCAAGCAGGCAAAACTTTAAAATGCCGATTTTACTCGATGTTCAATCGTATGTATTTCAGATGATGGCCATGCGACATAAATTATATTTCACAAGCTTTTTGACTTGCGGAAATGTTGACTGCCTAGAGATCAGTATCATCCAGGAACTTTAAGATCTGCAGCAGGGGCCTGTAGAAATTAAGAGAAAGGTTATTTCAATTGTTGTTTGAAAGGTATTACTTTATTAAAGATACTTTCCTGCGTACAAACTGTGTGATTTGATGATACATTTGGACTAAAAACATATTCAAACTAATTAATCTATTAAAAATTTGCCTCAAATCCCGCTCAAAACTATTCCCCAAATGACCTGGTTTGTGATGAGTAGACCGAGTAGACGTTCAACACCATTTCTCTCTCCCCCCTCAAAACTCTGTTTTCACGGGGAGATACCTCAAGCTATAAATAAACTGTTGTCAGACTCAGAGGCCATGATTGAGGGCGGGTCCATTTTTCATTACATACTCTCCAGTTACCATACATATTGAGACCAAAGTAAATTCTTAATTATTTTCTGTCAACTTCTTTTTCCGTCGTTTAATTGCTGAGTCTTCTGTACGTCGACACCCCTCAATGTTCCCTAACTAACCATTTGATCAAGAAATAACAACCGTTGTCAGTTAGTGATACCCTGACATTTTTGCCCAGTGATTTCTCCTGGGTGTTTTTCGGGTAATCCCGTATTTTTCTAGCAAGATTAGGGCGTCTATACTTTCCATATATACCATAATAACCACCCGATAAATACATTCGGGACAATGTATCTTTAAGCAAAGCAAATTTTAATTGTTCTTAGCCTTGTAAATATTAATATTTTTCAACTATTTATTGGACTCTTCGTGGAACGCAGGTGATTCGCGAGTCACACTAGAGCGGAAACAGAACACTCTCCGTTACAGTGTGGTCACCTCGATAGCTAACAATAAGTTCGTGAGGATGGCACCATACCTAAACAAACAACCATAAGACAAGGTACACAATAAATACACAGACATTGAAACATATATATAATGTTAACTAAATTGATACCTGGCCCTGGTAAATCCTAAAAGCACATATATTGGGGAATGTTGATATCAACTGTGGCTTTCCATCATAACGAACGCCATCGAATTCAGCGAACTGCACATGCACCTAATGCGGTTTGTTGAACAAAGCTATGAAGCAAATAAGAACTTGGCCTGCGCATAACGGCACTGGTGAATAATGGGGTGTCGGATGTGTCTTACTATTGGACGAATTACAACAGATGTCAACGGATTCCTTTT